ATTTTTTTACCCTGCCCCTCAAAGAATCGGAATTGAGAACCGTTAAGAACCGGAATCGTGGAAATTCGAACGATACCCAACCCTACTCCTTTGCCCCTCCAACAGAGGGATGTCCTCGTCCTTTTCGTTATTTCAAGCGATAAAAACTCTCGATCTTCTCTCGAATTATTAATATTTTGGACGCCCTCGGCTCAAGTTCAGGGCGTCCCGAGCTGAATAAGGGCGTCAAATGACGGCAAGACGCCCCCCTGGCGAAAACGCTGCATGTAAGTATATGTATGTACTTAATCAACTCTGTACATGCCTGTTAGCTTGTCAGCTTAATGTTGATATCAAACGCACGTTAGCTAACGTAAGTATTTCAGCTTAGCAACTAAGCTAGTTGTGGGATTTTGAGGTACTTGTTCTTGATTTTTTACTATAGGGTGCTTTTACGTGTAAGACTCAAACAGAATTTAGCTAATTATAGTTTTACTTAAGTAACATTTTCATTACCGGAATTTCACTTGTAAGAGTATTCTTACAGTGTGGTATTAATATTTATACTTCAGTAAAGGGTCTGCTACTTATTCAACCTCTGAGTGACAGTATATCAATGTGTTTCTGTGCCTGCTTTGTTAAGTTTAACTGATGTGCAGTATTTGTTAAAATCATTGTAAAGTGGAGCTTAATCATGGCTTATAGCCGACAACAGAACAAAAATAAATGTGTTGTTTAAAAGTGTCTACTATATATATGTTGTATAGTCTTAGTGTAAAACTGTTTTATTGAATATAAATTGCATTTGATGTTACAGGTAGAATAAATTACATTTAAATATTACCTACCTGCAGATTTATGAAATAAAATAGTAAAGAATAGCAAGTAAAAACAACCTAAAAAACAAACATTTTTACTGGAGATTTGTAATAAGATGCATATTTAATCTTAAATCAAATCTACTATGCAATAGTAAGTAAAATGTATTTACAAAAACTGAAATTTGACAGTAAAGTTGACTTGATTGCCTTTAGTAACAAACACTTCTTAACTGTAAGTAAATGCTACTTGAAATATACGCTGTTAAATTGACTTGCACGTCTTTACCTAGATTTTCCAGAGTAAATCTTACCCCCCCATTTTGTTCAGTGTAGACAGCAGTAGACCATCCTGTTCCCTGATAAAAACACTCTGGTAAATGCTTACCGAGCAACTGCAGGCGCTCGCTTTGCTCCTCTCTCCACTTGCGAAGACTTTCAGGTTCAGCCTGCAGCCGGTCAGCACTGGAGATCGCTGCGTAGGCATCGGATGGACCGTTGCTTTCCTGAGAACAAGGGGGTTGATGATATGCAGAGATACAGTTTGAAGATGTTTTACTAAGGTCAAATATAGAAATCTGAAAAATGATTCATCTTGTTTCCCTATCATCTGGAAGTTCTGGTCCTGCTTTTAATTTGCAAGTTACAGTTTGTGGGGAATAAAAAAAGCTCATTGCTCAACTTTGAGTTTTATCAGAGTCAGTGCCAAAAGGAAGTCCTGACAATGCAAAAGGCAGCAATTTGCAATGACAGCACAGGAAAGGGAAGTTGGAGTGAATCGTCCAGATATTTAAACCTCTGCGGTCAGCACTGAACTATCATTACTCAAAGGAAATAAGTATTTTTCACCACTTGCATACAAAAAAATTAAATACATTTTAGTTGTATAATAATAATAATTGATGCACAAAGAAATGTTTGATTTGGGAAAAGTAGTGTGTACTTGGTGAGCATGAATACGATGTCAAACTCTCCTTATGCAAACACAAAACACATGAACAAACCTTATGAGAGGAGACTTGGGAAATGTTACAATTTGATTGTGAAATTGTGAAAAAAGTATTACCCCATGAAGATCTCCGTTGACAGCACCATCTGCAAAAAATAATGTAAAATAGTTGTAAGAAATGAACGGCATACAACAAATCCAGACATTATTAAATATATTTCCGAACAACACAACCACAAATCTACAATGACAACCTTGGCTAGCTGGCTTGACTCTAGCTGGATCCTCGTGATTTGCAAACACACATTATACTCATACTCATTATAGGTTAGCACTTCTGATCAACTGCTACTGGAACAAGGCAGTCATGGAGGCCAAAGGTCGGCCAGCTCCATCAATTTGCTCTTAAGGCTGTAAGGTGAACTGGTTATTGGGATATGAAGCAATGAATGACACGCCCTATAACAGTAGTTACTGGTTTTATCAGACAACTTCCTTGATTTTCAGAAATTCTTAAATTGCACGTAACAAACATTATATATATATATATTCCGAGTTTAAGCGTTGAGGTTCATGAAAACGCTAGGTACACTTAATAAGCTAATATAGCTAAGCTAACATTAGCAAACTGGGATCCGTTTCAGCGTCCAATTAGGACTACATAACGGGAGTTATAGCTAACACCCTAATGTTAAAGCTAACTAGACAGACATTGTTAACATTAAACTGCCTCTGCTCGACCACAGCAGCCACCCACCGCTGGAGTCTCCCAGCGAGGAGGGCACCTCTCCGCTATCCAGGATGCTGAAGCCTTCGTCGTTTTCAATCCCCGCGATTTCGCTCTCCTGTTGGGCCAAGAAAGCGGCAGCGGGGTCCTCATCCGAGCCCACTCCGTTTCCAGCGGCGGGCGCGTTCAGCATGTCAAAATCATCCATGTTGTGAGTAGGGAGGATTAATAACGGAATGAGCAGGTGTAGCAGTTGACTAGAACCGATTACCTCAACGGGAAGAAGGACGACAATAAAAAAAAAAGGAGAAGCGGAAACGGAATATAACCAATCACAAAGCAGAATGAGTGACTGACTAAACAGAACACCAATCATATTACAGCTGCTTCAAAAGGGAACCAATCACATCGTTATACGCTCCTGCATACGGGTCCCATGACCTGCTATGTGCTGTCAGTGCTGTGAGAAAAATCCGCTGTCAGAGATTAAGCGAGAAACCCCCATATCTAACGTCATATTGTGTCTTGCTAAAATATAAATATATATATTTAAAAGGCTCTGATCTGAAAGAACGGCGGAGTCCCCTGATCTTCTTGATTTATTGCAGACCCAAGCGTGCTTTTGAATTATTTGGTCCTATTAGACCATAGAACCTTTTGCAACATTTGATGGTCTTCTCTTTGTCACTGCTATAACACATGGTGATCTGGTAACATGTGTCGTGTTCAGCCTGAGTAGCACAATGTCATGATGTTAATAATTAACAACTCTGACAGTCTCAAAGGGCTCAGGTGACAAGCAGGCACTCACCTGACCCAGGGTATGTGGAAGAGAATGTATTGCTTTTATAAACAGGAACATTTCAGCGTGACTCCAACACTGGGATTTATTGTTAACATGTCTAATCTATAATTTACCACAATTAAAAACTAGAAAGTATAGCCTATCTCCAATCAGAAAACCTGTGTTGTTGTCTGTTACACTAAGGAACATAAAGATGCATCTGGTTGTTCCTTAATTCAAAGGGGCCATGAAACCTGGAACTTGACTATAATAGCAGTCGGGACAATTTAAATGCACCTGTTGGCACTCAGTAGGATTAGAATGGGTGAGGACACCATGAGTTGACTGTATGGCCACTGGCAACTGTTCCTATGAAAAAGACCAATTTACAGTATTTGTGCGACTGGCTATTTCAGTCAGTTTATAAACTTAACACAAAAAGTAAGGAGATTTGTGTTTGGTAGATGATTTCCTTGTTGCTAAAATGCTTCTTGGCAAATATACCGTTGGAAAGCCTGTTTCCTTACCTTTCAAATGGTACCATATTTGTGAGAACATGCATTTGTGGGATGAGCAGCAGAGCTGAGTATGTGGGTTGCACCCATGAAAAATGTGACCAATCTCCTCTGCCAATGCCAAACAGCTTTTTTTTAGTTGCGTTTGGTGGATTGGATGATTGAAGTCTGATGAAACAAAGACATTTTATTAACAATGTATTCATTTAACAAGCAGCCTCAGTAGCATGTGGAAGAACCAAACACAGCCACAACAGCCTCTCCTCCTCATGCTGGTCACCAGCAGGGGCGTAGTTAGGACCTTGAAACATTGTGTTCACTCTGGACAGCACGCCCAAACTGATTCCACAAGTGTTCAATGGGGTTGAGGTCAGGACTGCAGGGAGGCCATTCCATCCTCTCCCAAATTCTGGAGGAAGTCTCTGATAATCCTCGCTCTGTGGGGGTGAGCGTTGTCATCTTGGAGGATGGAGTTTGGTCCCAGACTGTTGAGATGTGGGACTGACAATCAGCGAGCACCTGTGAGTACCAGAAGCTCAAAACAAAAGTTAAAAGCAACAGCAGAAGAAAGCTGTTGGCATTGGCAGAGGAGATTTGTCAGATTTGTCATGGGCACACCCTACATACTCGGCTCTGCTGCTCATCCCACAAATGTTTGTTTGTCATAAATGTGGCACCATTTGAAAGGTAACTTAACAGGCTTTCCAACGGTATAATCCTGAGTCCTGGATCCTGAGTCCTGGATTTCAAGTTGTGGCTGAACCTGTCTCTGCGGTCCTGCCTGACTCATCATACTACTTCCCTGATGGCTCCAACAGGATTGTTGACATCCTCGTGGTTTCATCTTATTATTATACACACATGCATTTCCAAACATTTGGACTACCTATGTTGCAAATGTATTATATTTTCAATTTACACACGGCATCTATTGCACATCTGTCCGTCCTGGGAGAGGGATCCCTCCTCTGTTGCTCTCCCTGAGGTTTCTCCCATTTTTCCCCTTTAAACTGTGGGTTTTCTCCGGAGATTTTTCCTTGTCCGATGTGAGGGTCTAAGGACAGAGGGTGTCGTATTGTCATACTGATATTCTGTACAAACTGTGAAGTCCACTGAGACAAATGTAACATTTGTGATATTGGGCTATATAAATAAACATTGATTGATTGATTGATATAAGATTCATTGCCAAGAAGCATTGTTACAACAAAGAAATAATCAAACACAAATGTCCTTACTTTTTGTGTTAAGTTTATATCCTGGAGCCTCATATGATAGAACATTGAGCAATGTTTAAGTAACTTTTAAAAGGTAAAGCACTGTTTTTTAGCATCAACTGCTTTACTGGCCCACCAGATAATCATATTCATTGTTATTTTTCTTTACTTGCTTGCAAAGTGCTTTGAGAACCAGGAAAAGCGCTATATAAATAAAATGTATTATTATTATTGCCCATACATCATAAATCTAGTCTTGTCATTATTTTAAATGATACTTTACTTAAAAATGTAAAATTAAATAGTACTTTTGTTAGGGCATTAACTCAAAGAAAATCACAAATACATTTAAATCAGCATGTAATGCACAACACATATGTTATAACATACAAACGCAAACATTTTTGCAATAAAATATATTATCTTCTAAAAGGCATGGAAAACTTCAAAATCTGTGAAAATCTTCATTAGGTCAGTGATCATGAAAAGTATATAAAACTTCACCTGATTCAGGAAATATCATTCTGTAGCAGCTTTTATAGCAGTTGATACCTAACAGTTTATTACAGTATTCCAACCAATTTTTCATTAACCATTTCTTAACCTGTAAGCCTTCAACCACCATCTTTAAATACTTGATTTCCCCAAAATGATAATATGTAATAAAACATGGAAATGTAACATCAACTTGACTACAACCCTTCTCTTAAATACCGATCATATTTAAAGTGAAAACTCCAACCGATTTATAAAAAACGTGAGATGGCAAGCAATCAAGGAGAATTGAGAGGAAGCTGCAGGAGAATGTTTCAGCAATATTTTGGACACATCTGATACACGCTTTCTATAATGATAGACTTTTCCATCTACCCACTTCACAGTACAAGTCTTTCCCAGAATGGGTAATTCTGTATTGAAGATGACTTTGCTGTTTACCAAAAAGCTGATGCTTGATTGCTAAAAAGAAAAGCCCCTTCATTTAACCTTGCCTATGTAGATACAAAAGGAGTTTCTGGTTCGTGCAATAGATGTACTTAACACATGACGTATCAAGACTGATTTGGCCAACATCTAGGCTGATTGTGAAGTTATTTTTTTCACAGGCTCGAGAATTTCTATTTTTGCAGGCAAAACTTCATCAAGGCAGTTCATGAATTTCTTTCAGTTTTGCAGTCCTCCTGTTGGTTGCGATCCTTGGTAAATTAGGACCATATCCTTCAAAGTAATCTCCTGGTCGTATAGTCTAACACCATGCTAGCTGCTCCAAGTAAAGCAGGTTCCTCCAGCTCTGATGTGAGGACCTTGATGTTCTGGGCAGATTGGAGCGCTCTCTCGGAAATGATGCGCTGCACCGGGGCAAGGTAGTAAGAGGCCAAAACTCCAGATAGAATCACCAGCGTGGGGTTCACTATGTGGAGGATGTTCACGATGCCCATGCCTAAAGCTGTGGAGGCTGGAGACGGGAGGAAGACAGATAGAAATTAGATTTGTCTTTTGTTTTAATAGCAGCTTTTATTAAATGTGATATATAAGTGAGTGATTTACGTTTACTCAACAATGTAAAGCATTTGAAATTCCTGTATATTGCTGGTTTGTGCTCTGACCTTTGTTCAGAACAGCGTCAGCGCTGTTATTCCCCAGTCTGGCTGCATTGATGAGGTGGATAGCAGTGATCGGCTCCGCTTGCTTTATATTCAGCCCCTCCACCTTCAGCAGGTCCTCTGAGAGACACACCAACACACAGGTCATATGTATGCATGTAAACTTATTACATTTTATTAACTTAACAAATACTTCGGATCCTAGATTGCAGCATCATGTATCTTAGACAAATTCAAAAAATGACTTGAATTCCTTCAAGCAACTAATATTTATGACTACATGCAATTTGTATTGGTGAGCTGTCCTTTCAGGTTTACAGGAAACAGGTTTCTCAGCTACTCTACTGGGCAGTATGGAGTCCCGGCACATTTCTTAAAGCTATACATGGACAAAAACAAACACTCACCGTCATGTAGCCTTTTGGCCTCTCTCTGCAGAGCGTTGCCCGACGCGTAGGCCTCGATGCATCCTCTACTGCCACAGGAACACTCTGGTCCCTCTAATGAAACTATGATGTGGCCCAGCTCGGCAGCGCAGAAGGTAGTGCCGTGAATCAGCTCGTTGTTTTGGATGATGCCTCCACCAATACCTACACACACGGACAATATATTTACTCCCTTGGTAGCAGAATGCAATAAGCTCATCAGTATTTTAAAATACGCCTTTAATGATCACAATTTGCTTCATGTACCGGGCGCACAGTTTTGATAATGTCACATCACATTTAGTAGCAAGTTCCTTGTTTATTATGACTTAGGCACTCAACTTAAGAACAATACATGCCTTGATAGATCTATTTTATGTTGGACAAATGTTCCGTAACTCTTTTGCTACAGTTGGCAAATTCCCTAATCAAAAATGGTGAATTATTGATTCCATTCTTCCTGCTTCTTACAGTGCAGACGCTTTTTCTGCTTGCTCTTGCCTCTGCTTACTTTTTCATGCTGATTTTCCTATCTTTCTTTTCTGATAACTTCGAGCAGTGGCTCCTGGACATTAACCTATCACTGGGACAGTTATTCTTCGTAAATAGATGAAGGGTTTCAGCCATATTTCAATATTTTTACGATGACCTCACTCCTACAGTAGCGTGGCCTAGCAACAGCTAAAGCCTGGTACTGCATGCTATTTAGCTAGTTAGCAGCAAAATGCCTTCGTTCTCTACAGATGACTTCCACAAACTTCTACAGAAGATGGCAGTGTTGGAAATGAAAATGCAACGGTTGGAAGTTAACGTGGAAGTGAATGGACTACACTCTAAAAACAAATGCCTTGGCTCAACAAAGAAAATTAACGCAACAGTTTGCATCGATGTTTATTGAGTTAAGACAACTTCTAATGAAATTGTCTTAAAGCAACAAAGTTATTTGAGTTAGGGGAGAAGGCTTTTCCTCTAGAATCAGAGGTGTTTTTAATTACCACTTACTTAATAATTGGTAGCATAAACACAAGTTTTTAAGTTGATTACTCAAAAGATTAAGTTGTTCCAACTTGTTTTACCGTGTGATTTAAATGTAATCTTAAATTGTATGTACTTAATTACCATCATTGTGAACACACGTTTTTAAGTTGACAACCATTTATAAATTAAGTTGCTCCAAATATATTGTTTTCAATAGTTTTTTTTCTTAGCTTTTTCATGTTTTTGCCTTTAAAGAAAGAAATTAATTGATTCCACAACAAAAATATTAGGCAATTCACTTTTTATTTTGAACTGCAGTTGTTTATTTCAACACATGATGTTTCAATCAGGAGAGAATTCATTTAGTTTGAACATTTATTGACACATGCCATATGATAAGGTGCATGAACACCTGAAATCACAGCTGACTGCAGGAGAGAGGAGAACCATTTTATAGTTTGGCTGCAGCACGTTGATTGGCTGCTGGAGAATGAGGTGAAATGTAATAGGTTAAAGAGAACGCCTGTGATGAGCTGATTATATGCAGCTGCGGAGTGAATGTATATACACCCAGTCTTCCTGTGACGAAGGTAACTTCTTCACTATGGACTGACGGCTTCAGGCCGGGTAATATTGCACTTTATTAGCGTGATTGCACAGTACAGTTGATGTCTGTGGCTGATGATTGTGTGCACCTGGTGTCCTGTGTTGTCTCCTCCCCCCTCACCTGTGTCTTGTTGTGCTGATTAGAGTGGGTGTATTTAGGGTCTGTTGCCCTGTCTGTTTTGGAGGCTGGTAAGGTGTGTGAGATCCTTGTGGCTGCAGGATGTGTGCAAGGAGAACAGCAGGATTGAGGCTGTGAACTTTGTGCACATGATTTTAATAAATGCCCACGTCGGGTTATATTTTTGGACGTTCTGCCTCTGCCTCCTTGCTTGGTCTGGGCCGCTCAACGGTCAGCTTCACACTTCCTGAAAGAACTTGCGCTGAGCTTAATTTAAATCTTGAGAAAAAAGATAAATAACACATTTAAATTGCCCCACAAATAATAAATAAACACATTAGCCATATTACCATGGGAAATGGGGACACAGCAATTTGCCTATACAGTGCAACAACAAGGCCATCTACTGTATTTGAATGACAAAAGATGACACTCACCTTAAAATGTCCTTTGCATATTTCTATTTGTCTTAACTGTGGGAACTTGTCCAGGCCTTAACTCAAGGTGTCGAACAATTAAGTTATCAAGCCAATTGCATTACTTACTACAACTTGAATTTAGTTTGAAGTCAATTAACGCATAAATCAGAGTTCAAATTACACACAATATTAAGTTGATGTAATTACCAACATTATTACGTCAACACAACTTATAAATTAATGTTTGCAACTTAAAATGTTTATCTAAATCAATTAACTCACATTTTTATCTTGCAACCATGCATTTAATTAAGTGGAGGTGAAAGGTCGCCTGAATTCGTTTTTAGAGTGTAAGTTGGAATGACACCACTTTACCAGTGCTGCAAAAGAATGGAAAAGGGCATGCTAACTTACAGCTAGTTAGCAGCTACAAGGATTCCAAGGAACAGGGGGGCTGTGTACCGGGCAATACATCTACAAGTGGTAGTCCTCCCTGGAACTCTCTGGGTGCAAAACCTAAGAGTAAATAATTTCCATGGGATTTGGGAGAATGAATAACAGGCAGAGCCCAGTGCCGGCTGGCCTGCATTGTTATCACCCAGGAAGAGCGCCTCTTCAACCCCTGTTCCTACTAGGAAACAGTCGTGGACAGCTGCTAAACGGAGAACTACAAACAATTCTCCTAAACCAGTGCTTCTCAAAGTGTGGTCCGTGAGCGCCCCCTAGTGGTCCGTGAGTATATTGGTAACATTTCACATTTGAAATAAATACATTTATTTAAGTTTTTCGCAGTCTCGCGGGAATATCTCCGCAATGGAACGAGCTTAAGTTTTACTTTCGATTGCATGATATAGCCCAGATAAGCACCTTCATCACACATGTTGCCACTTGTTTGTACAATTTTCAGGCGATTTGTAAAAAACGATGTGTTTTGGGACATTTGTGGAGTTAGGTGGTCCGCGAGTGTTTTTTTATTGGTTAAGTGGTCCTTGGTATGAAAAAGTTTGAGAAACACTGTCCTAAACCACTAAGTGTGCCAATCCAGAACAGATACGCTCCGCTGACCCAGAACCAGAGATCTCTTTCAGATGACCTGGATAACCTGTCCTCTTCACACAGCAGGGTAAGGACCAATAGCTACTCCAAAAGTAAAAGGCTAGAGGGAAAGCTAACGACTGGGCCTGAAACTCTGATTGTGGGTGACTCTGCTGTAAGAGATGTAAAAGGTCTGTGTAGTAAGAACAACACCAAAGTACTCTGTTTTCCCAAGGATATGGTCTCTGACTTGGCTGAGAAGATTCTGCATATTGGGGCTGAACATCCGACTGTGAAGAATGTGGTACTACACATTGGAACAAATGATGTTGTGAAACAACAGTCAGAAGTGCTGAAAGAAGACTTTAAATGTCTGTTGGAAACTGCCAGCTCTCTAAATGCAGAGGTGTTCATCAGTGGCCCTCTACCACCAGTCAGAGGAGGAGTGGAGAGATTCAGCAGATTGTTTGCACTGAATACCACTGTCTGTACTGACCATTCTGTTCATTTTATTGACAATTTGAACTTTTTCTGGGACCGCAGACATCTTTTTAAGGCAGATGGAATTTGCCTGAACAAGTCAGGAGTGAAATTGTTTATCTCTAACATATTCAACTGCCTGCATCATCAATATGTTCCCTCTGCCAAGGACAAGCGGCAAGAGCAATCAAAACAAGAGAAAGACACAACACATCGCACAGAAAACCTTGAAGAAGTATCACTGCACCCGCCTGAGGAATGTTTTGATTATGGGAGACCTATGACACAAATGCAGGAGTGTCCAACGCCATTCACCCCCCCCTGTCAACACCTTTGAGGATACTCTTCCTTCACACCCCAGCTGTCTCTACTCTCCGCTCACCCTTTCACCCTCGCCCACCCCCCTGGAGTTTGATGAGCAGATGAAGGAGATACAGAGGGTTGGCACCAAGTCCTAGTAGTATTCGTTTATTTGACCCCGAGGGGAAAATGGGTTGCAGCACATCACAAAGGCAAAAGATAAGACAATACGTCACTGACAACAACATAGACACAGATTAAAACAAACAGACATAAGAAAACCAGATATCGGCAGACATAACAAGGGGCCTATAGGCCCTCATTTGCGAAATAGGGGGGACAGGGCCAGACCAGCTGGGTAAACAGTGTGTCCTAGCCATCATTGAGTCAGGAGTTTGATGGCTTGTTGGACGAAAGACAGCCTAGATCTGTTCTTTTTTAACAGAGGGGCACGATATCTACGCCCGGATGGCAACAGTTCAAAAATAAGAGGCAAGTGGGTGCCTCAGGTCACTCACAATATTGTGTGCCAATTTTAAAACTCTGTCCTTGTATAAGCATTCTATATTAGCAAATGAGATTCCTGTCAATTTACTGGACAATGTTATGGCCCTCCTGACTGACTTTTTCTGTGCCTCAGTGGCTTTGCTGAACCAGCATATAATACCGAAGGAGAGCACACTTTCAATAAAAGCATGATAAAACATCTTAACCATTCTGTTGCCGACATTAAAAGACAATCATTTACGTAAAAAAAAACATTCTTTGTTGAGACTTGGCATTTATCTTCTCAGACCAAACATCCCATCTGAGCTTGTGGTCAAGCACGACACCAAGATATTTGTACTCAGTATCACATTGAATGGGCTCGCTATTTAAAAGAGTAGGGTTGGGCAATTGTGCTATTCTAAAATCAATTTCCATCTCTTTTGTTTTTGAGGTGTTTAGAAGCAGGTTTGACTTCTCACACCAGTTAATAAAGAAGTGAAGGACAGGCCCATGCTCCTCTTCCTCATCAAATAGGAGGCTGACCAGGGCCGTATCATCTGCATACTTAATAAAGTGCCTATTGGGAAAAGTGCTAATGCAGGAGTTGGTATATAAAATAAACAAAAGAGAGGATAAGACAGTAGTAATCAGCAGCGAACCGCTTCAACACGTGTATTTCGGTGTATTCACGGCATTCATTTTTATTATTCTACAGTATTGTTGTTTTATAGTTATTGTTAATGTAACCCAATTTGTGTTCTTTGAAATTGAAAAGGATATCGCATTGTGTTTGTTACTTTCAGTTGTATATGTCTTAAGTGTAATTTGGCTTGGTTTCCTATTTATGGTCATGCTTTTATTTTGAAGGAGAGTTAGCGCAGTTGACAGGAAGTTGTTGTTGCATTGGAAACAACGTGACGGACATTAACGGAGAAAAGTAATATATCTACATATAAAGACGGAGAAAGTAAACGATAACGTTTATGGTTTAGTGTTAGCACCCCCCGAAGAGGCACAAGCTCTTACGTTGATATTGGATATTTCAATAAATTCAATTTGGAAGAAAAAAACGGGGAAAAAGCAAACAAAACGAATATCCGAATAACGAAATTGAAACCCGAATAGTACTCCAACGAACGAATATTCGGGTACAGCTCTACTTCTGACTTCTCAATAGTCATACTAGAGGGGAGGGGGGGAGGATGGAGGGGAATGACAGTGTCAGCCTCTATACTGTTGCTACTCTCAAACCGGCAGAAGAAGGTGTTCAAATGATTTGCCGTCTCCCTTCCCTCACCACTGATCAAGACAGGAGACGGTTTTCCCCTGCCCTTATGTGGAGCATTCGTCATGTTTTTAATTCCCTGCCATGCTTCTCTGGGATTACCAGAGGCCAGAGCTGCCTCCAACTTCTCCTTATAGCTATACTTGTCTAACTGTATTTGTCTTATAATATCTGTATGTCTCTCCTAGCAGACTCATCCTGGTTTTCAAAAGCTTTTTTCTTCAGCTTTCTGTCCCCAGAGTCAGAACTAAACATGGTAAAGCAGCGTTCAGTTATTATGCTCCAAATATCTGGAACAAACTCCCAGAAACCCGCAGTTCCGCTGCAACTACTTTTAAATCCAGGCTGAAGACTTTTCGCTGCTTTTAATTGAAACTGAGCGGTTGTGTTTCGTTTTTGGTTAATGAACATTTGGGGCTAGTAACCCCAGGGAATCAGTGTCTGGGGACTTTGTCCTGGCTGGTTTTCTCTGTGTATGCTGCTCGGGACGTACTGTATGTGCCATACAAGCATACACAGCTCATGTTCGGAGAAACCTTAAAGAAATTCATGTACTTTTCATGTACAAAAAGTTAATTTATTTTTTCTTTTAATGTTTCTTTTATTATCTTTTCTTTTTAATGACTGTTTTTAAATGACTTTGTCTGAATGTCTTTATATTTCTGAATATTTCAGTGTTTACCTAGTTACTTTGTCCAGTATAAGCATATAGTATAGCAAAAATATATATTGCCACAATATCTAGTTGCATTTCTACTTTTTCATATTCTACAGCATACCATTCAAATAAAGCTACATTTTGAATTTGCAATTTGATGCAATGTGAAAATGTACAATGATTTAATTTAATTAAAAAATGATGTCAACTGCAGGAACATTTAGAAACTGATAATGCCCCTTTCTTCCAAAATACAGTTGTTATTTTAAAAAATATATATGAAATGATAACTAATAATTTCAATGAACATGGTTATTTATACTTACCCCGTATGAACTGATATGAATCACCAGACGTTGGAACAAATGAAAACATCCTGACCTGTTCCTGTGATGACGGTGACGAAGTTCTCCACACCCTTTCCGTGACCAAATTTCTTCTCCGCCAACGCAGCACAGTTGCCGTCATTGTCCACCCACACAGGCAGGTGCAGGGCGTCAGAGAGCGGTGTCCTCAGGTCGACTGAGGACCACTCCTGGATCAGCTTTGTGGAGTGCAGCACCACGCCTTCTTGTGGGTTTACACGCCCGCCAGTGGACACTCCTAAAATGTAAAACGTTTATAAGAGAATTTAATGATGGTTCTATAATGTTTTTGTCAGCATCCAAGCAGATTTTCATTTCTGAATGTGAGTGAGCGTTTTTTCCATACCAACACCGAGTATTCTACAGTTTAAGCTGACGGCATCCCGCGTGGCATCTGCACACATCTTCAACATGAGCTGCATCCTGGCCTCGAAGGTCTTTGGATTGGGCTGAGTGTACTTCTTTACAATCTTACCCTGAACAGAGAGGGGGGAGGGAAAGAGTTGTGATGCAAAAAGATGAACGAAGAAGAGCAGGCTTTATAGCAGATAGAAAAAATAAGGTAAAATTGAATCACAGTAAGGACCCAGCATCTGTAAGAATTAGTGTGTATAAATATTATATACCGTAGCAACATATTCTACCTTTTTAGGTTTCATGTTTTTATTTTGGATCATAACTGTTTTTTTAACATAATTTTGAAAAGACCTCCATAAGGCCAGAGAGACACATACAGTATCTCCATGAGCAGTGACACCTACCATCATGATAAATAATTTAAACTCATCAAAATGTAGAAAATGCTATGTTAAAGGTTGACTTGCAGCTTACCCTCATCCCGACGATGGCCACCCTGAGGTTGGTCCCACCCAGGTCTACAGCCAGAGCGCTCTGGGTCTCCAGGATGTGATCGATGTCCTGGGAAATGCATTCTTTCACCGAAGGAAAACAGAAAGTCTTCTGGAGGGGCTCATTTAAGTCAATGGTCCGTAAAAACTTGAGAATACGAGGAACTGCATTGCCATCACCGTAAATCTTGGAGCTGATGGGAAACAGAAATGCACCTGTGTTCATATCTTTCTACTTATAACAGCTGCGGTAAAAGAAAAGTCACATTTTATGACCTGAAAAGTGTAAACACAGTGAAATGGTTATTCCACAGTTATTAATGTTGAAGTAGACACTTTCTTTCTGTCAGCATGGCGTAGTTTGCACAGTTTACTCTCATATGACCCAAATTGACCCTGTGTGTTGGTTAGAGAAAGTGGGCTAATTAGGAACATCTGCAAGACAGGTGATTTTTGGATCGTTGTGTCGGTGCTAAGTAAATAAAAAAAGATATACATTAAAACAGTCTGACAGGAGTGGGATGAAAAATGGTTGTTACTCCAACTTTAAATGTTAGTTTGATGTAGTTGCCCTTTAGAGTATCCAGCAAAATGTTAAAAAGGAGACAAAGACCTAGTGAGACAGACATATAGACATTGGTCCTACCAGGGGTATCTCTTTCCAAACTGCAGCTCCAAAGCATGGTAGATCTTATCTTGAGTGTCGGCATCTCTGACATGAAGAACATTCTCACCTATGGGAGAGTGAATTGTCATCAACAGAGTTGTAAAGAGCTGAGGCAGATCCAATAGTGCTTTTATTTGGGTCACTGATAATACTTGAGCAGCATGTTTCTCTTCCACAACTGCTACAACCTTCTTATATTTTCTACATTTTCTACATTTTGATGAGCATAAAGAAAAGCTAAGTGGCTGCTTCCTGTATTCTACCAGGACAATGACACCGATACCATCGCTGAGACATCACAGACTACATTCATTTTTGTGTCGATACTGTTGTGCCAAAAAAGACCATTAGGATCTATCCAAACAATAAAGACTACATCTCATCGGATATTAAACAGTGTATCCGACGAAGAAATATCGCTTTTCAAAAGAACGATGCAATACAACTGAGATCAGCTCAAAGAGAACTAAAGGGGACACTTAAAGAAGCCTGAGAGCAACATAGTCTGAGTGTCCGAGAGGCTTTCTCAACCAAGAACTGGAAAGAACTGTGGGACTCTGTTAAAGAAATTACAAATCTGAACTCCGGCAAGAACTTCTACAAACGTTTTGATATTAATTCTGCTTCTAACATTGATGCATGTAATAACTTGTCAACCTCTTTAACCTGTGACCCAATACACAATAGAAGAATAATAATTGATGATAGTGCTATGGCCAGGGTTTTCAAACAACTGCATACTAAGAAGGCCAGTGGGCCAGACGGTATTTCGGCACTCCTGCTGAAAACGTTTGCAGATGAGCTCACCCCTGCCTGGAGTCCATTATTCCAGCTCTCTGCTGACTCGGGAAGCATCCCTCAAATATGGAAGAAAGCTGTCATCATACCAGTTGCAAAAAAAACATGCCCACATGACAACAACGACTTCAGACCAGTGGCTTTGACCTCAATAGTTATGAAGTCACTAGAACGGATTATGCAACACCTCTTGGACCCCTACCAGTTTGCGTATAGCGACGGTAGAGGTACAGATGATGCTCTGACCTCTACAACTCACTTTATTCTAAAACACCTGGAAAATCCTTTAGCTTATGCTAGATTAATGTTCATGGACTTTAGCTCAGCTTTTAATACTATTCTTCCCCAAATTATGTTAAAAAAGCTCAAACAGATGGATGTGAACCCTTACTTAAAGGTGGGGTAGGTGATTTTGGAGAAACCAGCTCGAGTGCGCTAGAATTTGAAAATACACAACCGGAGAAAATCTGCCACTTCCTTACAGAGCCCCTCCTCCAACACACACGAACGTGCACATGACCAATGAGGGCACGAGATAAGTTTGTGCACAGATGGAAGTCTGACAGGCAGGTAGGCCATCCAGTTATTTTAGCCGGGCCGGCTCAGATGATTGGTCGTGCTTTTTACAGTACTACGGCTTCCACAGATGACGTTTTTTATGGATTTTTTGTCAAAACACTTCAGATATTCATTGCTATCGGGATGTTAAGAGCATTCCATGGAATATAACAAAAAGTGTATCTCGAGCCGGTTTCTCAAACTTACCTACCCCACCTTTAATCAGATGGTATCACTCCTTCCTAACTGAAAGACAGCAGCAGGTGAAAGTAAACTCGACCCTCTCTGACACACAGGTCATAAGCACAGGGGCACCACAAGGCTGCGTTAGCTCTCCTCTTCTCTTCAAACTCTACACCAGGGGTGCCCAACCAGTCGATCGCGATCGACCGGTCGATCGCGGGGAGATTCCCAGTCGATCGTGAGATGTGTCTAAAAATAGAACAACAATATTCTGTTTTATTGTTAATGTCCTATAACATAATCTTCCTGTGCCAGGATAATGCACTTGAACGCATCAAAGCTTTGTGATTGGCCGGCGTGACCCCATGTGTCTGGGCGTGGCTGTTGGGCAGTGGGCACTATTTCGCTGATGTTGTCCGTGTCAACAGGAGTGACAGTCCGCACACACACAAGACCGCAATTATGGCAGAAGCAAAAAAAGCCCAAAATATATAATTTTCACTCCGAGTGGGAGGATGATTATTTTTGTATCTATTCCAATTCAAAGTCCATCTGTCTCATCTGCAATGCGAGCATGGCTTTATCGAAGAAGGGTAATTTTGGAGCGGCATTTCAAAACAGTGCACAAACGCTACGAGACGGAATTCCCTCCTAATTCTGCCCTACGCTCCAAAAGGGGAGGGGCCTGAAAGGACAGCTAAATGCACAGCAGTCCATTTTCACCAGGCCCAACAACAAGAGCAAGGCTGCTACCATAGCATCTTATCGTGTCAGTCACGTTCTTGAGAAACACATGAAGTCTTTCAAAGACGCCGAAGTTGTGAAAGAAGCTTTCCTAGACGCTGCCGACGCGCTTTTGGGGGACAGTAAAAATAACAGAAGCATTTCAACAGGTTTTTGATATAATAAAAACTCAAGTTAGATACCGTTATTAATCAGCTGTAAGTTTTAGTTTGTTTGAACTCATTCATTATAATTATTGTACAAAATGGTATAAGAATGCAAACTTAAATTGATTATAGTGTATTATCAATTCAGGTTAAGAAACTAGTGTTGCTTGCATCCTATTTTAAAGGCATTTATTTTTATACTCTACTAAAATGCAACAAAAAATGGGTTTGATTCTATTAATTGTGTCTTTTTTATTGCACTTTGGCAGCAGATTCCTGTGTAGCTTCAGATCTGAGTTGTCTTATTAGTAAGCCTCATTTATACTTTTGTAGCAACACTATTTTTATATAATGGCAAAGAAAGGGTTCAGAGTATTTCCTTTTTTCCCTGTGTCATATGTGGCAGCACTGTTCAATGTTTCTTGAATACATTACCCACTGTAGTGTGACGTGTTAATAAACTCCAACTCTGTATCAACAACACTGTTGTGTAACTTCAGTTAAATATTTGTATGTGTTTAGATTAGAAAGAGCCGAGGTAAGATAAAGGATCTGCAGTATTTTATGAGGTATTAATCGTACAAAGGTCAGTTTTATACAAGTAGAAGTGTGCATTTACCTGGTAGTAGGCTGTCAGTAATGGCTACGCCTCTCTATTTGGACTGGTAGATCTCAGCAGACTGGCAACTTTAAAAGTAGCTCTCGGTTCAAAAAAGGTTGGGCACCCCTGCTCTACACAAATGACACTGGTACTTGCATACCATGCTGCGAATGGATCTGGCCCTTCCTACATCCAGGACATGGTTAAACCGTACACCCCAGCGCGTGCACTACGCTCTGCATCAGCCAAACGACTCGCTGCACCCTCGCTGCGAGGGGGACCCAAGTTCCCATCGGCAAAACACGTGGGTTTGCTATCCTGGCTCCAAAATGGTGGAATGAGCTCCCCATTGACATCAGGACAGCAGATAGCTTACACACCTTCCGGCGCAGACTGAAAACTCATCTCTTTCGACTCCACTTCGAGCAATAGAATTACTAACAAATAACTGCTAACAAAGCACTTTTATACTAATAAAGGACTGGCTTATCTAAAGCCAGTTGAGTAGCACTTGAAATGTTTGGCTCTATGAAACCTGATGTATTTATATGATTCTGTTTTCTTCAAGGTTGTGTCTTCCTGGTCGAATGTACTTATTGTAAGTCGCTTTGGATAAAAGCGTCAGCTAAATGCAATGTAATGTAATGTAATGAGTGTAGGAGTCAGCACACACACAACCACATTATAAAGTTTTCTGATGACACAGCCATACTTAGTCTACTGACTAGAGACTCAGACATTTCTATTTATAAACTTGAGATTGAAGAGGTTGTGAAGTGGTGTGAGGCGCACAACCTGGTGTTAAATGTTAAAAAAACAAAGGAAATGATCTTTGACCCCAAGTCAGTAGGTGATCACAGCCCCGTCCTTATCAACAGGGAGGGAGTTGAGCAGGTTTCACGTTTTAAATATTTGGGGATTTATTTTGATGCTCAGTTAGGCTGGGCCCATCAGGTGGATCAGGTATGCTCAAAGATAAGCCAGCGCCTGCATTTTCTACATAGGCTCAGGGTTCATGGAGTGGATACATGCATCATGTTAATGTTCTACAGGGCAGCAATTGAGTCTATTATTCGTTATGGCATCACAACATAGTTTGGTAACTTGTCAGTTAAATCTAAATCACAACTCCAGAGCTTTATAAAAAGGGCTGGAAAAATAATTGGCATGCTTCCACCATCCTCTCTTCAGGAGATATTTGAGGAGATGGTGAGAAAGCAAGGCCGTAAAATCACATGCGACCCCAAACACATCCTGTATAGAGAGTTTGAGTTGCTGCCCTCGCGAGTGCAGAAGGTATAGATTACCAAACTATAGATTGAACAGGTATAAGTTTTCCTTTGTTCCGCTGTCAATCAAGCTGCTGAACAGTCAGAAACAATTGTGATTATGCTGTGTTAGGAGTTGTTGGGAGGTGCAATGTTTACAGTGTAGTTTGTGCAATCGAGAAGGTTAAATAGGGGAAGTGCATTATGTGTAAATAGGTATGGACACAATAGGGATATGTGCAATTTGACGGACACTATGCATAGGTGCAATAGGGAAAGTGCAATATTGATTTGTGTATGAATACAATAGGGAAAAGTGCAATATTTGATTATGTATGAATGCAATAGGGAAAGTGCAATATTTGATTATGTATGAATGCAATAGGGAAAGTGCAATATTTGATTATGTATGTGCAATAGGGATATGTGCAATAGGGAAAGTGCTGTACCTGTATGTTTCTTGTTTGTTTCTTTGCCATGTGATATGTGATCTCTGTTCTGTATCTATGACTGATTGACCTGAATGTTTTATGTGTATTATCTCGATGCCCAAAACAAATTTCTCCTAAGGGAGACAATAAAGCTTTATCTCTTATCTTATCTTTATCTTATTCAGAACAACAATAACTTATAATAATTATTAACACATTTTGCTTCAAAATGGATTTCAACTAAATGTATAATGTTTTTTTCAGTTCTGCAATGCTTCACTAGTGATCTAATCACACACAGCTCAGACTGAGACTTTATTTGATCATTTCAATAAAAAAGTAACATTCATATTTCTTAATAAGCACCGTAACTTTCATGATACGTGTTTCTCGGTCATAATCGGTTGTTTCCGTGAATGGCCGAATGTTGTGTTACGGTAAATGTTGCGGCCGCATGGTATTGTGGGACAGCATGTTCTCCTTTCCTTTCGTAAAGGAAGGTCCAGTGTTTCCTAAGCTAAAGGAGGTTATAAGTAAGAAGTTTCAAACCTCCTTTCCTATCATCTAGAGAATTTGAACGGCTCTTATCATGGCTGCCACTGAGGTACTTCTGGGTCATTTCCCTCTGTTAGGAAGGTTCCTAAGCTAAACTGACAATTCGACCGCAACCTTGACCTTCCTCTGTCAGAGAGCAAATCAGGACCATAGTCATGGCAGTTTCAGCAGCTAACTATGATCTTGTTTTTTGTTATGCATACCTGTTTCTCTGCCAGTTTGCCTTGATCCCAGGTTAATGACCGGCGTGCCGAAGGCCCCTGCCTCTCGTACCCCGCAGCTGCTGTTCCCGATCATGCAGCCGGCGTGGCTCACCAACTGGATGAAATGGTCGAAGGGAATGTGCTTCACCGCCTTGAAGTTAGGGTGCTGCTCAATGCCCTTCTTTCGCATCACACGCACCATCTCCTTACTTCCTGTTTACACAGAAAGATGCGAGTCATTTATTTAATAACATTTGAAAGAGGGAAACAATCTCCAATCCAAGCACGCTTGAATCATTTCATAATACAGTCACAAATAGAAGAAAACATAAAATAACAAGTGGGTGGAACTAACCGGCATCAATGTTAGGGAAGAGGATGAGGGTCTTTTTGTTGAACGATATCAGGGCGTCCAGCATCAGCCCGTAGATCTTAATAGAGTTCTGGATGTCAGTGGTAACCGGGTGCTGCAGAGCCACTATGTAGTCTGACTCCTGCACCTTGTCCCCTGCAAAATGAATTAACACCCCACACATGACATTCAAACATACTCTAAATGTCAATTATTATATTTCCTTCCCATGACCGTATCCCCACGTACCGAGCCAGCTCCTGATGATATCCATGTAGTCGTCTCTGTGATTATTTGACAGCAGCTTATCGTAGGAAGGGCAGCCAGCCAGCAGGATGCGAGAGTGGTCCTCACACATGGCAATGAGGTGCTGCTCTGCCCTGCGTGTGCAGCAGGCGTGGTAATGGGCCAGTTTAGTGATGGCGTGACGGATTGAGTCATCAATTGTACCACTCACCTAGGCAAACAAAGGGAAGACAGAGATGTAGTTTGTCATTTGGGAACAATTAATACAGCTTTGCACACACAAATGTCATAAAAACATGGGATAAAAGATTGTAAACAAAGCAAAAAGTGATTGATTTAATTAGTTCTATGAATCTATGGTTGTATTCTGTACTTTTAGATAGGTAACAAAGAGTATTACTGAATTATAAAAGGACTGTGTCTAGTGCAACAAAAATAATATACATTACTAGATTATTTAAAGTTAAACTTCTCTTTTATTTTCTCGAAGCCCTGCCTCCTCACCTCTCCTCCCTCCACGTGAAGTATCCTAATGTTCATCAGCGCCGCAGCGGTTGCAAGGGCCAGCGCGTCAAAGCGGTCGCCATGGATGACCAGGATGTCAGGGCTCAGCCTCTGTAGCACATCGGGGAGCTTCACAAGTGCCAGCCCGACACTCTCCACCATGGCTGCCTCATCCTCTCCTCTCACTATGGTGTGGAGCTTGGAGCCGATGTCAAAGTCGTCCTGCTCGATCATACGGAAAGTGTTTCTGCGGAGCGGGAGATAGGGAAGGACAAATTAAGGAAATACCTGAGTAAATCACAAGACATGTGGGATATTATGGACTGTTATGTTGGCTACTGCATTCCATTAAAGGAATATACACACTTTTTCTGCTTCCGGACGTCAACAGTAAACATATTTAGTAGGAAGCCATTGTGGCAGTTTGTCATACCCGTAATCATCGATGAGATGAGAGCCCAGGACTACAACCTCCAGTTCAAACTCCTCAGGGTTGTTTTTGATCCCAAACATGATGGGGGCCAGCTTGGAGTAGTCCGCTCTGTTGCATGTTGCTACGCACACCCTCACCTTCCTCTTACACTACACAACACACACATGGCATTAGTTGTTTTGAATAGAAACAAACCCCTCCCTCTACAATAAATGTTTAATTATTCAAATACAAATGACTACAAAATAACTATTTCACTATTGGGTTCTGCAAGTGTAGGAATATTATTAGTATGTTTATGTGTTGGGAAAATACTAAATGTACTCTTTCAGTGACAGAGGTGCACATGATATCATCAGGACACACTCTTTCAGGCATATGATAGCTACAGTATATGACAACGATTAACATGATGATTCAGCCTCTATGGAGATCGGCATATGACAAGCATGATCATTTCGGACCCGGGCCTTAGTTAATCTAAACAAAACATTGTATACTGCTTTGAACCGGTATTCCTGCATCTTGTAACTGTGTAACACCCTCTCTTGTATGTGAAGGACACTGTTCAGGAACTGGTTGTACCATATGCTCTGTATGTGATGACTGCTTCCATTCTTGTTGTCTCAAGGATGATAAATACATGTATCCTGTTTTGAAACGCGAGCCGGTGATGAGTGAGATTTTTCTAATAGTATGTATAATGGCTTTGTATAGTGATGGATAATGTTATAAATAGGGATGCACGATATTGGGTTTTTGAAATCGATACCGATACCGATAACTTCCTGCTTCTCAAGACCGATACCGATAACCGATAATAATAATATATATATATATATATTAAATGCACCTGTAGTTTTTGCACACCTGGTGGTAAAAAAAAGACTAGTAGTGAGCAAATGACATGAGCATTACTACTATGAACAAAACAAAGCCAAGAACAGTTTTGACTCTTCAAAGTGACCATATTTATTACAGTATTACAGTATTTATTACAGCCTCGTCGATAGGTAAAAGCCCCGGTGCCTTTGCAGCTGGCTTTGGATTCGCTGCTAGTTTAGCAGCGCAGGCGTCTTCGTACGCTTGTAACACACCATCGTAGCGATGGCGATGTTTCAGGTGACTAATCAGGTTGGAAGTATTATAGCTCGTTGCCTTTTTCCCTCCTCGTGGAACTTCTGCATTGCATTTGTTAATACAAATAGCAAGCGAACTATCTAACTCTGAAACTTTGAAATAGTCCCATACTACCGACGACATGTTTACTGTCCTGGCTTCACGGCCGCACACCATTTACGTCACAGCCAGGCATGAGTTAGGGAGCGCTGGATTTGTGAAAAACTCCCCTCTTCCTAAACCACTAATACCACAGTACTGGCAAAACGGGAGGAGCCGAGTGAAAAACAAGCGCCCCTCATCCCAATCCACCCACACCGCAGTATTTTTTCTTTTTTTTTGCCCAAAAAATATATTGTATATTATCGGGGCTATTAATACTGTTATCGGGTTTATCGGGATGACGTCATAATTTCTAATATCGGATCGATAATTATGGGGCCGATAATTATCGTGCACCACTAGTTATAAATAAACTCTCATTTTCACATGGAGCCAAAGACACAAACCCATACCTGATTCATTTCTGCTGTGTTTTTCCTCTCCATCGTTTCTCTGCACCTTTGCATTGTCAGATAGTATATTTCCTAGAAAACAAAGACAAAAGGGGGAGTCAGATCCAGTAATGAGTTTGTAAAGCAAAATAAAATCCATTATTTTCAACACAAACCCACCCACAGGTTATACTCACTTGGGCCTTCCGAATATTGAGATGCTGTAGCATGGAAAACACAACAAAACTACACTAAAGATGTTTCCCTTTTTCCGCACATAACACATGCTGACACATTTTTTCTAGAGATGGGAAACATGCTGTGGGACAGTGCTTTGGGTGTCAAGATGAAGGTCACACACAAAGGGCAGGACTATGTCGACAAGAAGCCTACAATACCTCGTCATCTTAACAACTTGTTTCACTGAGTAGACCTACAACAATCTTTGGTATGATTACGATTTTAGCTGATAATGTTACCCATATGACACAAAACTGAAAGGACAGTTTGGTTTCAGCCACAGACTTTTAATAGACCTTTTTCTCAGCACACTTTTTTAAAACAGTTTTTACTGATTATATACAATGGTTGGATTTATTTTCACTTATTTACAATTGTGTTTTTCTTACTATGACATGTCAAAATAATATTGTTATTTCTTCTCTTTTCATAGCCGTCAACAGTTTGAACTAGGGCTGCACGATATTGGAAAAAACTGACATTGTGAGAATGCATTATGACAGTTTCTCCATTCGGCATTTAAAATCTCAATCTTGAATTTAATCAAAACCAATCTTCATGTTAAAGGAAATATACAGAGTTACTGAATACATTCAAGCCAATATGAAGAATCACAGGGACCTCAAATTCCAAAGCAGATTGAGTGCTTGGAATTGACCAACTCCGGAGGTTAGATTTAACCACTGGCAGAGCTGCTTTTTACTCCTTTGGACTTCTGGGAATAGGAATGGAGGGGTCATTGACATCAGAACAAGCAAATAAAGTATATATATACAAAAATGTAATACAGGGTTCCCACTGTGGCACAAATGTTAAATCCCACCATGTTTTCCAGTGCTTGATCCGTTGATTACCACAAAACCCTGATGCTCTCAATTTTGTCGACATTTAGAAATTAGGGCACTCAAAAAGAAAGAATAACAATTATGTTTAAATATAATAAAGCCCTTTATCAAAGAAGAGCAAAGAACATCGGAATTCTGTAAATAAAAAAAGGCCTCTGTTTAAAAAGGACCCTATATGTCATGTGAGTGCAGCTGTTAAAGAATGCACCCATACATAACATGACATAGTTAAGCACTCCGTGTCAACCTCAAAAGGTCACAACACAGTAACCCAGTGTTTTTCAAGTTTAAAGCTTCTCCCTGGAGCACTACCACTACTCTTGCTCTTTGGCTAATGCCTCCTTCTCCTTGTACATGTTTGAACATAAAGTATTTCTTGTGTTACCTCTTGGTGGTGCTACCAAACCAACATCCTTCAGGTTAGAAAGTACACTACTAACTTCATTTTACAGATCCTTACTACTCATTTGGCTAGTCAGCTGAAGTACATTAATTGCTCAAAGAGCTGTGGAATTTTCTTTGAAACACTAGTTTACACTTAGTGACTGTCACCAAAACACAATATGTGTAATTCTGAGCCTAAATAAACATGTTTAATTATTTCCTTCGTCAAAAGAATGTACTGCAAACTCCCCACAAAGCACTAGTACAGGGGTGGCCAACCCGCGGCTCTCGAGCCGCATGCGGCTCTTTGCCTAGTTTCATGCGGCTCTTCAGTTCATATCGAATTGTATATGTGTGAGTTTGGGGGAGAGACACTGACTCCTGACTAGTGTTGCACGGTGTACCGATACTTGAAATGTATACCGCGATACCCTGTCGTTAAAATCGTTACGATTCCTCCGTTTCATTAGTATCGGTACTTTAAGAATGACGGGGAAAAGTACTCCGGTGAGAAAGCGCTGTTTTAATAAGAGCCGTGTGTGTTCAGCGCTCTGCTTCCACTCCCTGCACTGCAGCCGTGCCTGCACCCTCCCCTCTCAAGCACGCTTAAATCCCTCCCCTCTCTCGTGCACGCGCTAGCTGCCAGAGCATGTGAGAAAACGAGAAGCATGGCTGCAAGTGGGAGTGCAACTGCCGCTGCGCCTCGGCTTGTTGACAACAAATATGCCAGAAGCTACATTTGGAAGTATTTTAGCTATATCTCTGACAGTGAGGGCAAGCCTACGGACACCACGAGGCCTGTCTGTAAGAAATGTATTAATTGTATTTAATACGAATTCTTGTCATTTATTGTATTTACTGTTCTCATTGTTTAAAAGTTTGTGTTATGGTTATGATTCTGGTGTGATATAAAGCACAATAATTACATTTTAAGACTGTTTCCCGTTTTTTAAGAAAAATAATCGGAATCGCAATTCTTGACTTGGTATCGAAACCAAAATGTTGGTATCGTGACAACACTGACAGTTACACCTGATATTTAGTAGGTCTGTTAAGTATTGAATGCCCATCATTCTGACGTAATTTGGCCGGTCAAAGTTGTTTGGGCTCGGATAAAATCGCTCCGTTACTTTGGTCCCGTGTTACCCTTGTCCCGGCTCTCCCTACGTGTGTATGTGTGGTGTCAGGTGTCAGTATGAGAGGATGACAGCGCGTCTCATTTTGATGTGGCCCAACAGCCAATCACAATAATACCTGCAATGCAGTGAACCAATCACCTTTGAGGGGGGGAAACCTATTGTTGATTAAACACTATTCAGTGTTTCCCCTACCATTGTCTTGGAGGGGCACTGCGAGCCGCCAACGGAGCCCCGCGCCCCCCCTGAAATTCAAGGTGTTATATATATACTTTTTAAAAATATATATAGCATCAAATTGCAAATAATCTATAACTACTGTCACTTTTCACATTGAACATGTGCTCTTTTATTAAATAAACTAAACGCTTTCATTTTAATTTGTGGGTTTAGTGTTTTTGACCCTAAGAAACACTGATGCATTAATCAATAACAATAATCCACAGCTCTTCTCTCTGCTCCAGAGGATTTTAAAAATATATCCCAATGCCACAAAAATGAATCAGTGACGTGGTTGAAATCTTGTCTCCAGAAAACAAAAAACTGAAACAAGCGGTATCAGTGACTGTGTGTTTGATGTGGCTCCTTGCAGTAACATAGAAAACATGTGGCTCTTAACCTCTGACTGGTTGGCCACCCCTGCACTAGTAGGTGAAAGGGAAACTGTAGCAATGCAGTGGGAGTCACCGACTCAGGAAGGAGACACAGGGTGAGCTGGAGCTTTGATGTCAAACACTGATGGTTTATTAGGAGCTTCGGCCGGAGAATTCACATCACAAGTCCAAGAGCCAGAGGTTCTGACTTCACGGTAGAGTTGCCACGTCAAATCTCAAGAACTCTACCCCAGACGCATGTATTTAGCTAGTTCAGAGAGAATAATCAACATTGTGCATAACAAGATAGAACCATAACTAGGGATGCACGATATTGGTTTTTTGAAACCGATACCGATACCGATAACTTCATGCTTCTCAAGACCGATACCTATAATAAATGAAAAAAATTCCTTGGCCGCCCCGTAGTTTCAGAGCGTATCGAGTTTAAAATACCATCTACAAGCTGATGCTGACAGCCCCGCTCCTGCCGCCCGCTTGTGGCAGACCACACTTCCACGCTCACCGGCAGGCACCGACTGACTGTTGGGAGGACCGGGAGGGTGTGTGTATGTGTGGCCCGAGCGAGCGAGAGAGAGACCTTACGTGCATTGTTGTTGTTAGCATCTGGTGCTAGCTAGCTGCGTTAACGGATATAAGGAGCTGTTTAAATGAAAACAGAGGAGCGACATTTCGCCGCAACTGCGCCGAGCACTTGACTTTATGCAGGAAGCCAGACAGTGGGACATTGTACGAAAAGTCAGCACACTCAGCACGGATAGTGCGTAACATGATTGCAGCGTCCAGGCAGCTCCGGTTCGAGCATATGCCTTGAGTTGCACATAGCTCCAACGCCCATACCACCGACGACATGTTTGTTTACTGTCCTGGCTTCACGGCCGCACACCATTTACGTCACAGCCAGGCATGAGTTAGGGAGCGCTGGATTTGTGAAGAACTCCCCTCTTCCTAAACCACTAATACCACAGTACTGGCAAAACGGGAGGAGCCGAGTGAAAAACAAGCGCCCCTCATCCCAATCCACCCACACCGCAGTATTTTTTTCTTTTTTTTTACCCAAAAAATATATTGTATATTATCGGGGCTATTAATACTTGTATCGGGTTTATCGGGATGACGTCATAATTCCTAATATCGGACCGATAATTATCGTGCATCCCTAACCATAACACCTCTATCAGCTGACGCCAACAGGCAGGAACAGGGAGACAAAACACTGATACCTCATTCACACCAACGCAACTCTGGTTCAAGGCCGTGCTAGAGCTTTTCATGTTCAGAACCGGTTCTTCGGTTTAGCTCCGGCTCTTTTCACATTGCCCAGAGTCCGACTGGTGCTGCGTCATTGCGTCATCGTTTGCGTCATGAGGTAACTGTTTACGTGCCTGCTTCATAAAGTCAAACCGTGCGGAAACCCCTCACAGCTGACACCGACAACAATAACAATGGCTGATTGTGCTCCAGCTTCCTCTGTACCTCTTCGGAAGACCAGATTCCCAGTAGGTAGCTGATCTCTTCAGTGGACCACTGCTGCTTGTTAAGTTTCTCCATTGTTGTGTACAAACTGGATACAACGCCGGCTTTTTGTTGTTGTTCAGGAGTTGATCCCGCCCCTTCCCCTCGACGTAAGCGTGACTTATGTGGTGCTTTTGCTCTGGCCGGACAATTTTTTGGTGCTTGAAACGAACCGGATTCCGGAGATAAGAGGCTGCTCCGCTGCGGTGTGAAGAGGAAAACCCGGTGCTTTTCAAGCTCCAGCTCCGAACCGGCCCTGAAACACCGTTGGTGTGAATGATGTATGAGAGCACAGCAGCCAAGGTTACAGGTGCGTGTGCTCAGTCAGGACAGTTTGAATTGATAAACTAGGTAAAAGTTATGGACCTTGGAAAATGTTTCCCCAACAGTAGGCATTACTTGCTGTGTTATAATTAAAATGATTGCACTGGCAGTTTAACGATGTTTTGCATTATGCACAGGTGAAATCACTCACTCAATCACTTACTGAAATGGTGTAAAAATTGAATTTGACCCAGAGAACAAACGCAGAATGTACCCAGAAAAGCTAGCAAGCAATCAGTGGCACATCACAAGCAGACATCCTGGTTTTTAGTGGCATGCTGCTCATAAACTGAAAAATTACTTAAAACAAAATATTAGCTACCGTGGAGCCCAGTATGGTTTTGGTGATTTGCAGGTGAGCTGGCAGTGCACATAGCTCTCTTTTCAAAACTGGACAATCTATATATTAAATGTCCTTGTTTTTTTGTTCAACCTTCTCTCTGGATCCCTCTAAACCTTTTCTAACAAAACATTGTCCTTTGTTGAGGAGCATTTACCAGTATACGTTCGTTTACATAAAATCTCATTGTACAACTTAACTCAGCTACAGCCCGACCACAATAGACAATACATATTATATACCTAGTCTTTTTTCTTCTTCCAGTCAGTCATTAGAAAAGATATTCAGTGCTGGTGTTTCTGATGATGTTCTATTAATGCCTTAAAGAACACACTGCTCTTAAGTTTTACTTCTGTGAGCTCATTACTTTTCTTGATAGTCTTGG